AGACATCTCGTTCCCATCTCCCTTCCCTCCTTCCCGTTAGGATGGATCGAAGGTCTTATTTTCGAACCCCTGAGCCGAGCTGCTTCCCTCTCCGTCCCCAGTAAAGCTGTTTGCTGTGGCTCGTCGCGGAGCGTGGAGACCCCAGGGCATCGCAAAGAGCTGCTGAATCTCTTCAAGTCTGACTCCGCGTGTCTCCGGCACAGTGACGTAGAACACCGCCAGGCCCACAACAGTGCAGCCGCAGAACATGTAAAACGTCCCCTGTCGCGTGATGGCCGCGATCAGCGTCAGGAAGGTCAGCGACACGATCAAGTTGAAGAACCAGTTGACCGATGTGGTGATGGAGTTGCACGTGCTGCGGGCCCACAGCGGATAGATCTCGGCCGTGATGGTCCACGGCATGGCGCCCAGGCCCGGGGAGAACATGGTGATGTAGAGGAACATGCCCGTGATGGGAAGCCAGGCGTAGTCCGTGGGACACCAGTCAGGAGCCCAGGTCAGGCTGTTGACCCCTAGTTCTGCCGGGTCGGCGCACCGGCCCAGCGACGCCGACGAGTTATACGAGGAGACGTGTGGTATACATGAGCCGTTCACAGGTCCAGAGTCCAGGTCCTGGAAGCAGAACCCGTTCTCACCAGTCAGCTCACAGGCGTCACAGGTGGCCGCTAGGAGCGCACTCTGGCCCTCCTCCAGGACTGTCACTCCGACCGAGTGGCTGGCACTCAGCTGGAAACCCGCCCCGAGAATCACGAGCGAGACGGCCGAGCCCAGCGTGCTCCACAGGAGGATCGGCCGGCGCCCCGCGCGCTCCACCAGTCCCAAGCCGACCAGCTTGGCCATGAAGCTCAGGAAGCTGACGATCGCGGAGAGCCAGATGGCCGTGGACGGGTCGCGGACGCCGGCCAGTGTGATGATGCTGGCGCTGTAGTAGATGACCGTGTTGACGCCGGAGATCTGCTGGAACATCTGCAGGCAGCAGCCGGTGATGAGCGCGCGGCGTGTGCTGGGTTCGCGCACCACCTGTGACAGCACCGAGCCTCCGTGACCTGCCGCCGCTCGCTCACGAAACACGACCTCCTGTGCCGTGTGGTCGGTTTTGATGGCGTCGTACTCAGCGGCGACGTGGTCCCCCTCGCCTCGCACGCGTCGCAGCACATCTTTTGCCGCCTCTTCGCGGCCCTTCGCCACCAGGAAGCGGGGTGATTCTGGCATGAAGGCGAAGCCAAGCAGCTGAAGAGCGGCCGGTAGTGCGCCGAGTCCCAGCATCCAGCGCCATCCGCCGTCCACTGTGGAGAAGGCTCCGCAGACCAGCGCAGCCACCAGCTGACCCAGAGTGATGGTGGCCGTCATCACCATCACCAAGAGGCCGCGGATGCCGGCCGGCGCCGACTCAGAAATGTAGATCGGCACGCACATGCTGGAGATTCCGATGGCCAGTCCGACTATCAACCGGCCGACTAGCAGAGTCTCTTTGCCACCTGCCAGAGCCATGGCTAGTGATCCCACCACGAACAGCACTCCAGCTACCAGGATGACAGGCTTCCGGCCGAACCTGTCAGCCAGATATCCGCCAAGTAGCGAGGACAGCCACGCGGCGCCCACAGTCGCCGAGACGATCAACTCATGCCAGAAGTCGGAGAGGTGGAACTCGCTGCGCACCAGCAGCATGGCACCTGACACGACACCCGTGTCATAGCCGAACAGCAGACTGCTGATGGCGCTGAGTACGGTCAGAAGATACACCAGCCAGCCGTGCCCGCGCAGCGACGCCGCCGCCGGCGTCGGCCCTGGGCCCATCGCCGACACGTCCACCGTCATGTCTGCGGAGTCGGAGCACTGAGCAGAGCGCGCCCCCGGCCCCGCCTCCGACACCGGCGGGTCTGCCAATGCGTGCACGGCAGCCGCTACCGCCGCCACGGCCTCCGGCGTCGCCACTGCCATGCTGATAGCGCCGCGCCGCGCGGGACGTCCCACTATCTCCTGTTGAAGTGGCACCGCGACATTTTCACACGCCCGCGCACAGGATTATACCGGATCAACCGTGACACGGATTGACGGTGGCACAGGTTTCAGATCACGGCGGCACAGGTCTCTGATCACGGCGGCACAGCCGACACCCGAGTCAGACACCCGACCGTCACGGCGGGCGACAGAAACTACACCACAATAAACCCACAGCCCTCTCACGACCATCAGCAGCACAAAAAGTGCACGCAGCAAAAAAGTCCCGTAGCTGGTGTCTGGCGTTAGCGCGAGTCCGAACCCAACCGGCCAATCAGGCCCGACTCCACCGCCGCACCGCCTCGTCGTCATAACAGACGCGCTAGTTTCCACCATGGTCCTGAGGCAGAGGCGTTGCAAGAACGGCGGCCCGGGGCAGGGGCGGCGCCAGGCCCGGCAGTAGGGGAGGCAAAAGTCCTACTGCCAGCGCGGATCGGCGTCCGCTCGACCCAGCGTCCGCTGGGCAAGCAATACGGAGGGAGCGCTCATGTATGACGATTAGCGAGGGTTAAAAAGAATATCGTTCATTGAGTAGCTATGTATAGTTGCGTTCAAGGTGCAGGTGTCTAATCCCATAACGAGAGCTACAGCTCATAGCCAGTGACGTTATCGAGGTCGATTGGAGGAGTGTAATGTCGGCGAGCCTATTTAATTCCGACATTTCAAGAAGGAACAGCCAATGGCTCCTTTAATCAGGGCTGCAGAGTCGGAGTCGGAGTCGGAGTCGGAGTCGGTCGGAGTCGACAGTTGTGACCGGAGCCGGAGTCGGAGTCGGAGTCACCGAAAATCTGTCGACTCCGCAGCCCTGCTAGGTCTGCGGAGTCGGAGTCGGGAGTTGGAGTCGGTCGGAGTCGACAATTCTGCCCGGAGTCGGAGTCGGAGTCGGAGCTGGTTTTTGAAAGCCAGAGTCGGAGTCGGAGTCGCCGAAAATCCATCGACTCCGCAGCCCTGCCTTTAATCGCAGAAGTGCACTTACTTAGCACTGCACTTTACCGTGTCAAGTGTGAGCAGCGTTTAGATAACCGACTGATAAGTTCGTGTTCACTTGTTCGGTTGCTAGATGACTGATTATATATTCCCGACCGGGGCTGGGAAAATGCGTTTTATTCACCGAGGTTTTTGTGCGGAGGACCGAGTGCCGGTAGGCACGAGGTCCGTAGCCAAAAACCGAGGTGAATAAAACTGCATTTTCATAGCCCAAGGTTGGGAAGAGATTTACCACATGCCGTACCCGCGCAACAGTTTATATCATATTCATTTGATATTATATATTATATTCTTATTATTGTGTTAATATTATATTAATACTATGTTAATATTTATAGTCATCGTGATTATTTTTGGTGTTTTTTATTATTGGGCGGCGTTGAATATGAAAATGAAATATCCTACTTCCCCCTTATTTAGGGTTTGAAAAAAGCTGAGGATGAAGATGGTGAAGCGCCAGAAGTTAGGACAAACTATAAACATATGGAGTCCAGCAGGAGTGAGGAAACCGTGAGGAAAACTGAAAATTGGGTGAGACGCTGAATCAAACGCGTCTTAGATCCCAGCTGGAACAATACCAAATGTTTATTGTGGCTCGTTAAGATGCTTCGCGCATTTTAAATGTTCGTTTTTTGCGTGCATTATGTTGTAATAATGAGTACTCTGACCATGTTCTGCAGCAATAAATACATTGGCATTGGAACGATACCTAAAACCTATCCTTGTTTAATTGAATTACGTTGACAGCAAAAGTAAGTGAAAACGCCATCACTTAATTTTGCTCACTTCTGCTGTTGCTGTTAGTGAACACACAATCCGTAAATATCTTCTTTGGAATTGGTTCTTCCACTCAGAATATTCAGTAAAATTTTGTCTGGGAAAATCAAAAAGCCCTAGGGCCGAATCGTTTCCCAAATACCTTCAACATTAGCCGAGGCGGGCCGAAGTCATTTCCCAAATGCACGTGCTAATGTTAAAGGGATATCTCGGCATGTGGTAAAACATATAAGAACCTGCTGTCCAAATGCAACACAACATACCTATTGACACGGCAGAGATAACGCAAACAGAACTCTGAAGAAAAGGGCATCTGACGCGCCGAAGGCGTGACCCCAGCGATGAAATCAGAGTTTAACATAGCTAAAGAATCCACACATCGGATCCCATTCCCATCAGCCACATATGTTTGTGGCGTCAGTTTCGATTTTGCAATTCAAAATTGCTAGAATAACCGCTTCCGAACCAACTAGCGGGAACCAATTCAGACATGCAGACTGTTATTCAAGCGTTAATCAATCAATCAGGCAGACCGTTCAATGTGACGTTAAAGGTGCAGCGACATCCATGACCTGATATTGCTTGTTGAATGACGCTAGCAATTGAGCGTATATTTCCAAACAACGCATTACGTCAGTGCTCTGCAGTAGAGATACGTGTGAACTCTACCGCCTTTGTGTAGTAAATCGTATGGAGCTCGAAAGGACCAATGGGACACAGCTTACTATTGTCCGCGTGGTGGCGATATGCACACCACTCATGGGGTCTAATTTATCGCAACAGTGAGAAACTGCCGGTACAACAACAGCGTATTCACGGTGAACTGCATTTTCGAACGGAATATCCGCACTTCTATAGCCTGGTGGTGGTTAGATGAACTAATAGTTACCCGAACGGCCACGGGCTTGGAGCGAGATTAAATCGTCAAAAATAGTAACATGGATAGGGGAATAACGTACTTTGTGGCATAAAATGCAAGTTGAAGTTTCAACAGAGCACAAAAGATCCGCACAACTATCGGGCATTATCTATATAATGACAACCACACTAATGTCACCGTAGTCGTAAGGTACGCCTGATAATTTTGCCAGTACGGCGGATTCTGCAGAACTTTTGTCGGTGATTATCGCAGTGGCCCAAGCACCGGAGAGCTCAGACAATCAAGGTGATATTTATAGCCCCCTTCCTCCCCCCACGAGCGCACAAGTACCGCGGCTCCCGTGTGATGTACTCACCCCATCCAGGCCGGAGAGCTCCCTGTTGAGCTGTTCGGCGAAGGCCTCGGCGTTGCTGACGGCCGTCTCGTGCTCTGACATCATCTTCAGCAGGTCCTGCTCCTCCTGTGAGGTCAGCGCCTGGTAGCTGTCCGCCTCCACGGAGAGCTCGGACACTGCGGAGGTCAGGTCACGTTAGGTAAGGGCAGGGCAGCGCAGCGCAGGGCAGGGCAGGGCAGGGCAGGGCAGAGCAGGACAGGTCAGATCAGGTCGAGTCAAGTAAGGTCCGGTCATCTCACGTCCGATTCCGATAGGTTAAAAGCGTGGATAGTTTTTGAACTCAAACAATGAATGTCCAATAATGGCAGGGTATTAGCAGGACCGAATATTAAACATGTCGACGAGTGCAGACTTTGAACTGTCGTTTCTAAATAAAGTAATGACAGAATAATGAAGTCAAGAAACAATAAATCCAACCATTTCACTAACAGAAGAAATAAGCCAGCAAAAAAAAAAAACGACTGTAAATGCAGCATAATTTTGAAAACACCTTCTTTTTAGCAAACAAACACCCAACTTCTCCTTAAACTTTGTCAGCTCATTTCACATCATCCAGGTCATTTCAGACCCAGTCACAGACTACTGTGAGAGCACAGTACCTAGGCTACCACCCAGGCCAGCCCAGGGCATCCCTCCCTTTCCCCGGTCGCAGTGACCGCCTCACCTGGCGATAGGGCGGCGCGTGTGTCGGCCGTCTTGGTGCCTCCATCCAGAAACTCGGCCGGGATGTTGACAAACTGAGGTCGCTGGCGGTGCAGGTGCTGGCTGCACAGCTGGCGGACACATCGTGGGAGGGAGAAGTTAAGGTCAGAGCTGGTAGTGGGGAACAAATAGTGAAACAGAGTGTGGGGGATCAGTGGGGAACAGTGCCATTATATGGTGATAATAGATTATGAATTTTCCAATAGGGGATGATGACATGGATAAAAACAGGGCTTGAAAATAATAAACCATAACACCAAAAAGTTTACATGAGATCAATGGTAAAAAGCAAAACTCACCATCCATAGGTTGGCTATGAACATATTTCTTTCCATGGGAGTGCTGGCAACCCATTTGTAGACCTTTTCAAACTGTAAGTCCAAGTCAGCTGTATCCTGAAAAAGAAATGTGTCATGAATGCTGAAGGAGCAAAGAGTAAAAATCATTTTCTAAGTTTGAAATACTACACTTCCACAACACAACAAAACTGCTGTCATATAACTACATGCTGTGTAGCAGCATACCCTTTTTCCATCTTTTCCATCCACCATCTTGAGATCCTGCAGGCCCCATGTCCTCTTCTTCTTATAGTTGTCCTTGTCCAGTTTCTTTACAGTGCTGATAAAGCCACTCTTGTCTTTGCTCACAGACAAACACAGAAAATAGGTTTTCTTCTTCTTCTCTAGCTGTGATACATGAATGGCCTTAATGAGTCTCTCATCACCCGGCTCAAATATGCTTTTCTCCAGAGCAAATCGGATAGCAGTCATCCTGGTATCAGTGAGGTTGACTCAGCAGTCAGCACACAGTTTGATCCGACTTTAACCTGCAACGAAAACAAACCTAGATCAAACACTCATTTATAATAGTAATGATATGGCATATGGGTGATGTGAATGAGACATGAGATGATAAGGGAGAAGTTGGCCCAGACCCAATAATCTCTCACATGGATGGCGCATCTCACATGGATGGTCGACTTGCGTAGCTCAGTCAGTAGATAGATAGATAGATAGGCTTGTATTCCAGACTAAGAAGTCCATTGACACAAGATGGTGATAGATAGAGATGGATGAAACACACACACACATATGCACACACACACACACAAAGATTATGACACATTCATGAACAAAGCACAGTATCATCAGTAGAGCGTTGAACTCTGTGTGGTGTCAGCGACACTGCATGCATCCAGGTTACGACAAACTGGGTTGGAAGTGTAGAGGGAGCATGATGTTACTAAGCCTCCAGACAGGCATGGTTTCGATTGGTGGCAGGCTGCAGCCAGTCACTCAGACTGACAACTGGCCACATGCATATGTCACTGTATGCTGAAACAAAAGTAGGTACATTTGTGACTTAGATAACAATCTGGTGGTCATGTCGACTCTCAAGGCCCACAGCTCATCTCACTGCTTTCTTCAGCTGTTCACAAGGAAGTGAGATGCCTGCTTAACAACTATCTCGATCCAGACTTTCGGATCAGGATGCCAACTTTCAAGACAGAGGAACATTTACATTATATACCTGTAAGTTGAAGTGTAACAGAAATGTAAGTAGCTTCAATTACGATTGTTCCTATAACGTGCGCAGCATAAGTAATGCACAAGAAAGCAACATCCAAGCCAATGAAATTTGGAGGCAAACTCAATGAAGGCGCCAGTAATATACAATACTGAACGAGGCCAGTGTAAATAAATTTTCAAGACCGAGGTCCTTACTGAATTTTTTAACGAGGCCGAAGGCCGAGTTAAAAAATCAGTAAGGACTGAGGTCTTGAAAATTTATCACCGGCCGAGTTTGGTATGTATTTTACTGTATGCCAACGATAAAATAATTGTCTAGACCGAAGCTCTTAGCCATTTTTTTGAACGAGGCCATCCCAAAATGTTGACTTGGTAATTCGTTTTCGACCGTGGTCACTTTGCTTACACCAGTTATTACCACACCCCTCAGGCTAATGTATTTAAATAGGCCAGGCATACAGTAAAACCAAAGTAAATCCACAGTAAATCCATGCAGGGCACAGAACCTGAACCAAAACGACAGAATCTCATGACACCTTAGTTTCACCATCAAAATATGTGTATCTATTTCTTTTAATCAAAAGCATAAGGTACATCATACACCTTTGCTAATCACTATCAAGGCATGATGTGATACCGGGCTTGCTATCTGATTATGTCTAGCCTTCTTGCCCTGTGTATATTTCATATACGTTTGTAAAATATTTGGTGCTAATGTGACATGTGAAACGCAATTAGTGTGAAATTAGGGTATTAGCAAGAACAAAAGGTACTAACACTCGATACTCGATCATGTATTACGATAGGTTAAATGGCGACACACATTTCCAGTTCATGGCTCACACACTGCAATACTCAAACATGGCTGGTCTTAAAACGGAACTGGCGTGTCTTTCGATATGGGTTCCTTTCTTTTCCTTGCCACTCCTTCCTGTGACTGTTTACTTGGTGAAGGGAACCAACCAGGTAAGTAAACCAGGTAAGGCAACCAAGTACAAAAATTAACCCAACCTTTCCTGACCTGCCCGCGCGCGTCGTCCGCCGCGATAATACATAGAAGGCACAGAATGTAATGGGGCCTTGGGCCGTTCATTATACGTTCATTGCACATACCCTGCATTGCACAGCAACCAAGTTAGTGTTCAATCTGCTAGCTGGCAGCAGTAGGCTGACGAATCAGCGAGGGCATTTGTTTAGCATTTGCACTTATTTTATTTCTGATTTAGATTTGCTGCTTGACTGTAAGTGACATTGTATTCTTTGGAATATCTTATTAAATTCACAATTCAGATCCATCAACAAAATTGAAATTCGCCATTACTTAATACTTTGGGACGTACCGACTACTGTCCTTTGTAACAACTTGCATTCACAAGCGCTTGCAGTATTTGAATAGGTGTTTTGTAATAGTTGCGTTAGAAATGTATCTGCACAAGAAGTTAAGATTGATGAGAGTATCAAAAAGTCAAATATCTAAATTTATACGCTTTTGATTCGTTGTTTGTTTCTTTTTGTCGTTATAAATTAAGGAAAAATCGTTTCATTCAATTTAATAAGCAACCGTCCTACCACTTGCAAAGACGTCAAAACAAGTTTTCTCTTGTTCTTCACACTGGACGACAGATGTCGCTTATCATGAATAGATGTCGCAGCAATCGATAATGCACCGCTCCCAAGGCCGTATATTAGGATCGCTCCGTCATTTCTATTCCACAGGCTAAGGTGATCGTTAACTTGCTTCGGCAGTTGGCATTTCACGGGTTTGTTTTGAGAGCTCTCCTACGCGCGTCCCCACCCCTCACATCCAACCTTTTACCGCTTGTTCCAACTCAACCCCCCTCACTGCCCACAACCGCATCCAGTTGCCCCACGATGGGGAAGCGGCGCCGTCAGCGCCCGCTATCCGACTCCTATTCCGAATCCGACTCTGACTCCCCTCTAAATCCGACTCCTCCCCCTGCTATGGACACCGACTCCCGCCCGACCGTCAACCCTCCCTCCTCTACCCACCCTTCGACTGATCTACCCGGTACCGACCCTCGCTCGTCCACTGACCACGCCCTGACCGCTGACCTGACCTCTGACCCCGCCCGGCACTCTGACCCTCGCTCGTCTACCGACCTCGCCCGGAGCCATGACCCTCGCCCGTCCACCGACCACTCCCGGAGCTCTGACCCGCGCACGAACTTGGCCAACGCACCTGCCTGTGCTTCTGTCGATCGCTCTCCACTCGAACCGTACTTGGCTCTCGACGGCTCTTATCTGGTAGTGAAGGCTAGCGATAGTGACTTCTCTTTCCGGAAGATCAACGTTTTTTGGCCTCAGAAGCAGATCGCTGCTATCTGTGGTCAGCATGGCCCCGATATCGAAGCTCCAGCTAACGGCACTCTCGTGATCAAAACTCACAACCGAAGGGACACAAAAGCACTCCTGAAGACAACCATGTTCTGTGGCAAACAGGTGACAATCTCTCTCCACCAGAGTCGCAACTCTTGCAAAGGCACGATTTTTGCCCCCGAGATCCGCCACATGACCGAGGATGAGATCCAGTCAGACCTGAGAGGAGAGGGAGTAACACACGTCAGACGGCTGACTACCTTCCGCGATGGTCAGCGACGGGACACTAGTTTGCTCGTTCTGACTTTCGACTCCACCACCCTGCCCGAGAAGATCGCCATCGGCTGGCTCAAGAAAGACGTCCGAGTTTTCATTCCCAATCCGCTCCGCTGTTTCAAGTGTCAGCGATTCGGTCACGGCAGTGCCACTTGCCGTCAGGCTGCCCGCTGTCAGAAGTGTGGTGAAGCCCCTCATGCGGACTCTGCTTGCACCAAACCAGTTACTTGTCTCAGCTGTGGTAGCTCGGAACATTCAGTCTCTTCCTCTCAGTGCCCCACGTGGAAGAAGGAAAAGCGCATCTGCGAGATCAAAGCTCAGTCCGGCTGCTCCTACCCCGACGCTCGTCGCCGTGTGGAAGCCGAAACAGCCACTCCGGCTCCTGGTCGGTCTTATGCCAAGGCCGCCCGTACAGAGACCACCTCATGCAGTACTCAGACTGACCCGATCTCAGCACTCCCCCCTCTTCAGTGTCTGAAACCCCTGACTGCCTCTACGACCACATCTACGAACACCAACGCCGCAACCGAGACCATTTTTGGTGACCCAATGCCTTCCTCCCCTCCCGACTCACAGCCCGAGGTCTCACAGGAGATCGGTCAGCAGCCAAAGCCCTCCACCGGAGCTGGTCGCTCCACTGCAGGATGGATGAGGGTCCAGCGCACGAAAGGACCCCGCCCCCAACCTCCATCAGAGGATAGACAGTCCTCAGGCACACGCACGTCACGTCCACCTATCCGAGTAGCAATGGGCCACAACCGTGCGTCTAGTTGGGCTTCGCCCCGTCGTGGTGTAACAAACAGGTACTCTCTCTTAGAACAACAATAAACAGCATACTCCAGTGGAACTGCAGAGGCCTAGTTTCGAACTGGGCCGAAAGCAAAATGATCTTTCTTCTACTAGCACCCATAGTAATAGCGCTACAAGAAACATGGTTACTTCCAACCGATCCATATAACTTTTCGCTGTTCAACTATTCGTTATATCGATACGATGAGACTGAAGGAGAGCGGCGCCACGGCGGCTCCGCTTTATACATCAGCAATGACTACGTACATGATTTGATAACGCTCAACACTCCATTGCAAGCGGTGGCTTGCACTATCCGTTTGCACGGACGGAATTTAGACATTTGCTCCATCTACATTCCTCCGAACACAGATAACCACACACTTGAAAGAAATCTCAACCGTCTAATAGCACAGTTCCGACATCCATTTCTCTTACTCGGAGACTTTAATGCCCACAGTCCGATGTGGGGCCGTACCATTAGAGTACCCGATGATCGCGGTGAAATAGTTGAACGCTTTCTCGACACGAATCACCTGGTTCTCCTTAACACAGGAGAAAACACACATTTTTCTTTAGCACACAACAGTGAATCTGCAATCGATCTTTCGATATGTTCTCCACAAATCGCTGCCCTTTTTGATTGGATAGTGGATACAGATGTTCACCACAGTGATCACTATCTAATCAAGCTTTGTACAACTTTCCGATCTGATGACGATGCTACTTCCGCTTTTATTCCTCGGTGGAATTTGAAGAAGGCAGACTGGGCTAAGTTTCAAGAGTTTTGTGCGGTTGACCACGAACAGTTTCATTCTCCAGAACAAGGGATCACCTTCTTAACAAACACAATTTTGTCAGCCGCAAACAACTCGATTCCAACCACGACG